CCCATCACGGTTGAAGATTTACGACAGAAAAAAATGTGCATGAGGGATTTTAGCAAGTTAAAAACTTTGTTTGGCAAACGAGGACAAAATTTTCGAAAAGCTTTCAAGAACGTCTCGAAGAAACTGTCTCAAAAGCAGCAATAACAACAATGGAGAATACTTTGTAAAGAAAAACGGAATAAGGCCTACCTCGCCAAACGCTCCTCTCCCAATCACTTTCAAGCTTTCAAAATCCGTCACTTCTAGCCGAGTTCTTTTAAGACGAAGGAAATCGGTCTCTTTCGAGCGCTGCACTCGTCGCCGTTCTTCTTTTTCGTCTTCACTAATACCTAAATGAGTATAAAATCGTTCAAAATTCAAAACACCCTGCAAAAAAAAACTGTAATAAGTTGAGCATAAGACCGCAAGCTGGCGGTCCACAACGGGCTAAAATTTCTCAAAAGCGTGTGATTATGCCAACGGCTCCAACTGGAACGCACAAGAGCATTTACAATTACAAGCTGCTTACAATAATGCCCGGGTCACCGTTCAGCTTTGGAAGCGGCATTTACGCGAGTTGCTAGCGTTAATTTTGCTTACCTCATGCAAATGAACGCGTTATGCCTTTATAAGCTTCTAACTCTGCGATGGAGCAGACGAAATGGAATAATGTAGCTACTTTGATTCTTGAAGGATACCAGTTCTTCACCATGAGGTCTAATTAACTTTGCTAGGCACCATTTGGTGCACACCCCCCCCCCTCCTCCACTAAGCAAAATTAGTGCGCCACCTCAGGACACATGGCAGCGTGCCAAGACCTTCTTCCGTTTTTTCTTAGAGCGCGTTCAGACTTCGCGATCGCGCGATCCGGATCGCGCGATCGCGCTACTGTGGGTGAAATTACACCGGGAGGGGGTCATGTTCGTTCATGTTTATTGTTCCTGTTCTTTTTTCCCCTTTTCCTTCTTTCTTCCTTTGTGTACATAACGCCCTCCTAATTTTAAGGAATGTTTCGAAATATCTTTGAGTTATTTATTAATTTCCTATGTAAAATATACTAAATATACAATATGTATTATTATATAGATTTGCATCTGAGTACGTTCAAGCGGAGTATTGAACATCTTGTTCCAAAAGTAAGACACGCAGAACTTTCAACAGCGGGTGATGTTGTTTCTCTCCCTTCCCCCGATTTTGCCAGTCCTCCAGATATTCACTTTACTTTTGTCACATGTGTTGCTTTGTTTGTTCTGCCATCCTCCAGGTCTATACACAACCTTTCCTTTCGACGGTTTCTGCAAACGTCAGTATTGCGAATATGAACACGGAATAAAAGACATCAAAAAAGGTCGAACTACTTTTATATCGTTTTTGGAACTGCCTATTGGAGGCAGGATACAGCATCGTGATGTGAGAAATGGTGATATTAGTACGACTCCCTTCCCAGAACTTTGTTTGTTGTTGTTTGTTGAGTTGAGTTGAACATGAACGAACATTGAAAACCACCTGCCGGTGTCATTCACCCACAGTGCGCGATCGCGCGATCGGGATCGCCGCGATCCGCGAAATCTGAACGCCGCTCTTACTTTCACCTATCTTCCCCTTCCTTCCCTCTCTCCTCCTTTTCGTATTTTTCACTTCCTTCAACTTCCTTCTCTGCCGGTACATGAGATGTGAAAATGCCTGCGGACCTTCGCAGCGAGAGAATGCCTGCTGACAGAAACCCCGTAACAAAAGCGCCCATCACCGCGACTCCGACAAATAGAGCGTTTTAGCCCTCAGCCCGAGAGAGTTATAATCCGCACATACCACTGACAAGCCTGCTCCTGCTACATCTTTTGAATTAATCACACATCTTCTTTTCTTCCATCTCTACTCTTGGGGCTTTCAGCCCTTAGCCCGAATGAAGTATAATCCGTACACACCATTGAGCCTACCCCGCTACCGCCTT